AGTATTTACTAACATTACAAAAGGTAAAAGGCAAAGACAGGTTTTGATAAATTTGATTAAACATCCCAAAATGTCATCTTATAAATGCTCTTCAAGGTAAAGCATTACCACTAACTAACTAATGTGACCTTATATAAAAGTGTAACATTGTCAAGTGAAACATACGTTTTCCCCAATCAAACAGCGTATAGAATATGCAATAAACTCCACAAGTCACAACAGGCTCTGAACAAACAGTCAAAAGCAGATTAAGAAGTCAAGAGGCTTTCAGTCTTTAGACACTAATGTGCATCTGGACAATAAAGAAGCTCTTAGAAGTGCAGGTCATCACCTTTTAAACCTTTAACGCACTGCTAATGTCACTCAGGAAGGCCAAGCAGGCTTCTGACACCTTTGTGCAGCAGTCATAGCAGCAAATGAAGCGACACAAAGGTGCAGATGCTGGACCACGACCTCATGCTTCTCTACTGCCGACCTTTTCAAGATCAAGCCAGCCAACAGCACTTTAGATCATACAGCCAAGACCTGAGGGAAAGGGCAAATCATCACCACACACACACTATACGCACACACATATGCACTCTATACACGCATACAAACTGTATGCACATGCACTCTATATACACACACACACACACACACACTTTCTCTATATGCACACACCGATGCACTCTATACACACACACACACACTATATGCAGCCATGCATGCACTCAAAAATACATGCACACACTCTACAGACACAAGCTCTATACACACACGCACACAAACACACACACACACACACTCTCTCTATATGCACACACCGATGCACTCTATACACACACACACACACACACTTTCTCTCTATATGCACACACCGATGCACTCTATACACACACACACACACACACACACACTATATGCAGCCATGCATGCACTCAAAAATACATACACACAAACACTCTACAGACACAAGCTCTATACACACACGCACACAAACACCATATGCAGAGTTGCAAACATGCAAATGCACATGCACACACTTTATATGCACACACACACACACACTATAAGTATACACACGTGCACTCTACACACACTCTCTATACACTCACATACACTAAATGCACACACTCTATACGCGCACACACACGTACTCTACACACACTATACTCACTTTCCAAACACACACACTCTATATACACACATATGCACTCTTCACAAACACTATAAGCACACTCACTCTATACACACACACACACACAAATATGGACTCTACATAGACACACACACTCTATATGTACACACATATTCACTCTATATGCGCAGACACAATAATCGGTATGCAGACGTGCACTTCACACACAATCTATACACACACACATACACATTTGCACTCTACACACACCCACTATATGCACACACACTCTATACACAGACACATATTCACTCTATACAAATAGACACACTATATGCATAAACACACATGTGCACTCTATATATACACACACACACACGCACTCTCTCTACACACACTCACCACACATATGCACTCTATATGTGCAGACACACAAATGAAATCTGTACACACACAATCACACACATAACAACCGCAAACACACAAACATACGCTGTGTTTTCATGTTTTATGGGGACCTCCCATAGTCATACTTATTTTGATACTGTACAGACTGTATATATCCTGTCCCCTTGCCCTGACCGCACCGTCTGGATGAGTTATGAGACATTTTCCTCATGGGGACCAACACAATGTCCCTATTATATCAAAAATGACTGCTACTGCTATCTTTTAGTCCCCACATTGTGATGAATACCAGAACCACCACACACACACACACACACACACACACACACACACACACACACACACACACACACACACACACACACACACACACAGAGCGCATAAGTCTGTGCTGTACCAAAGACAGCTTGACCTCAGAGACTGGACAGCTGGACAAATGAAGGTTCAGGCAGGCTGGAAATAGTGAGAAGGTGAGAGTGTAGCAGCACAATCTCTCATGCAGGTCACTGCCTTTCAACTTCAGCATGCAGTAATAACATCCATCATAACTATCCATCTTTACATTTATCTATCCGTCTGTTTTTATGTGTCTTCTATCTATATGTCTGTTCGTCTGTCTATATACACTCACTGGCCACTTTATTAGGTACACCTTACTAGTGCTGGGTTGGACCCCCTTTTGCCTTCAGAACTGCCTTAATCCTTCATGGCAGAGATTCAACAAGGTATTCCTCAGAGATTTTGCTCCATATTGACATGATAGCATCATGCAGTTGTTGCCGATTTGTCAGCTGCACATCCATGATGCCAATCTCCCGTTCCACCACATCCCAAAGCTGCTCTATTGGATTGAGCTCTGGTGACTGTGGAGGCCATTTGAGTACAGTGAACTCATTGTCATGTTCAAGAAACCAGTCTGAGATGATTGAGCTTTATGACATGGAGTGTAACCTTAGCCATCAGAAGATGGAGACACTGTGCTCATAAAGGGATGGACATGGTCAGCAGCAATACTCAGGTAGGCTGTGGCGTTGATGCTCAATTGATACTAATGAGCCTAAAGTGTGGCAAGAAAATCTCCCCCACACCATTACACCACCACCACCAGCCTGAACCGCTGATACAAGGCAGGATGGATCCATGCTTTCATGCTGTTGAGGCCAAATTGTGAGCCGAGCATCCGAATGTGTGAGCAGAAATGGAGACTCAGAGCAGCAACGTTTCTCCAATCTTCTATTGTCCAGTTTTGGTGAGTCTGTGTGAATTGTAGCCTCAGTTTCCTGTTCTTAGCTGACAGGAGCGGCACCCGGTGTGCTCTTCTGCTGCTGTAGCCCATCCGCCTCAAGGTTGGACGTGTTGTGTGTTCAGAGATGCTCTTCTGCAGAGCTCGGTTGTAACGAGTGCTCACTGGATATTTCCTCTTTGTTGAACCATTCTCTGTACATCCTAGAGATGGCTGTGCGTGAAAATCCCAGTAGATCAGCAGTTTCTGAAATACTCAGAGCAGCCCGTCTGGCAGCAACAACCATGCCACGTTCAAAGTCTCTTAAATCCCCTTTCTTCCTCATCCTGATGCTCACTTTGAACTGCAGCAGATCATCTTGACCAAGTCTACATGCCGAAATGCACTGAGTTGCTGCCATGTGATTGGCTGATTAGAAATTTGTGTTATCGAGCAGTTGGACAGGTGTACCTAATAGAGTGGCCAGTGAGTGTACATAAGAGTTTGTTGGAAAGCTCAGTCTTGAGGCTGTGTGTGTGTGTGTGGAGAGCAGATCATCGTGACTCAGAGACGCTCCCCTTAAAATAAAGCTGCTGCTCTTTCTGTGTGTATAGTCCAGATACACACACACACACACACACACACACACACACACACAAGATCATTTCAGTTTTTTTGTCTCACATTTTCCCTGATTGTGTTGTTGTGAAAGCTGCACTGAGAGCTGCAGTGGTTTCTGGGTAAATACTGCACACACAGGTGTCCAGACTGTGAGAGGAAACACCTGTATGTGTGTGTGTGTGTGTGTGAATGGAAACATACAACTCGTGTTTCAGAGCGCGATCAAAAAACAGTGTGTTTAGCGCCGGTCACTGTGAAAGGGCACACGCAGATATGAATGATTATAAGATGGAGGACACTCATAGGATTAAAGCACAGAGGATCATGAATTACTGACAATCTGCCGAGATCACAACTGCAGCACAAACAGCACAGACAATACAAAAATAAATCAAGTAAAATAAATTAATATGCAATAATAATAATAATAATAATAATAATAATAATAATAATAATAATAATAATATTAATAATAATAATAATAATAATAATAATAATAATAATAATAATAATAATAATAATAATAATAGATTAAATTTACATTAACACCAATACAACACTTTTTCTTAGTGGTATATGCTATTTACACCCAGTACAAAGAGGGAAAGATGCTCTTCACAACATGAGAAAACAATGTTATTCACATAAATTTTGGTTTGCACTTTAAGTAACAAGCGAACGAACAAATAAAACAAACAAAAAAACAAACCAATTAACAAAAAAGGAACTAACAAACAACTAAAGCAATGAACCAACCAACCAACAGACCAACAAACAAACGAAGAAATCGATAAACAAACAAACGAACAAATAATTGAACAAAAAGCTAAAGCAATGAACCAACGAACAAACAAACAAACAAACAAACCAATAAACAAACAAACCAATGAACAAACAAAAAATAATCAAATGAGCAAACAAATGAACAAACAAATGAACAAAACTAAACCAATAAACAAACCAACAAACAGACCAACGAATGAACAAACAAATCAATCAACAAATAAATGAACAAACAAACAAACAAACAAACCAACCAATCAACAAACATACGAAGCAAGGAACAAACCAATGAAGAAAGCAAGGAACTAACTAACCAATGGATGAAAAAACTAACAAAAAGAAAAAAAACACTGAACAAACCAATGAACAAACAAATGAACTAACGAACAAACAAACAAACAAATAAATAAATGGACAAACAAACAAACAACTAAAGCAATGAACAAACCAATGCACAGATCAACGAACAAACAAACAAACCAATGAACAAACAAAAAAATAAACAAACAAACTAATCAACAAACCAAGAAATTACCCAACCAACAAATAAACAAATTAACAAACAACTGAAGGAACAAGGGAACAAATGAAGGAATGAATGAAGGAACGAACAAAGAAACGAACAAAGGAATGAATGAATTTGCCTCAATTAAAAGTGCTCAATATATTTTTGTTAATAAATTTTAACAAAAAATCCAATATTTGAGTTTTTTGTCAATACTGTGACAATATTTTGCATTAGTTCTTTAATTTAAACACATTCCTAGATTTTTCGAGTTAGGGTCGCGTGTGCACCATGGTGAGAGAAAACGTTTGTGTTGAATAACAGAGTTGGATCACACTCACCGGGGATGTTGTGTATGGTGATGGCGAGGATCAGCAGAACGATTCGTCTCCAGCTGCTGCTTCCTGTCTGACCCCTCACTTCTTGTGCTTTAGGACTCACTTCCTGTTCCTCTGTATGTCCTCCAGCGCTCGGACCCCTGCGTCTCTGATACACCTCGCCGTTCTCAATCTTATCTGAAGGAGGAAAAATGTAAAATTATCATACAACAATTTTTCTTTTTGGAGAACAACACATTTTAATTGGCAAATTATTCTCTAAAAGGATATATATATATATATATATATATATATATATATATATATATATATATAAATCATGAACCAAAGATCAACAGATTATTACATTTTACTTAATATTAATTCAACATTTAATATTAAGATTATATCAATTTGATCTATTAAGTAGTCATTTCCTTAAGTGTTGTAAACATGTTGCACAATCGAGAAATAAAACCAGAAACATTCATTTTATGAATATCAATATAAAATTATGGAAATTATGGAAAGAGTGAACTAAATTTATGTAAAACATAAAGAATTTTAAAACTCTGTAGGTTTCTTTTATAAATAAATAAATTTACTTAGATTTACTTACTTATTGTTATTATTATTGAAATGTGCATTTTCTTCTTATTCAATGTTTGATCTAATTTTAACTATAACATGAAGAGAGGGCGAGACAGAGTAGCCCCTCCCCTTTCAATAAAACAATCAATAGAGTTTTGTTTATATCATTAGATTTAAGTAACAAACGAACCAATTAACAAACAAACAAATGAACAAACCAATCAACAAACGAATAAACCAACAAACAAACCAAGGAACAAACCAACCAATGAACAAACCAACAACAAAATAAACAGACAAACGAATGAACAAACAAATATACAAACAAACAAATAAATAAATAAAAAAATAAATTATTAAATAAATGACCAAAGAACGAACAAACAAACAAACAAATCAGTGAACAAACCAATAGACAAACAAATAAACCAAAGAACAAACAAACAAACAAACCAAAGAACAAACCAACGAACAAAAATTAAACCAATGAACAAACCAAAGAATAAATGAACAAACATAAATAAACAAGCAAAAAAATAAATAAATAAACAAACAAGTGAAGAAACAAATGAAAAAACAAGCAAATGAACAAAGAACGAACAAACCAACAAACAAACAAATCAACGAACAAACCAATAGACAAACAAATTAACAAATGAACAAATAAGCAAACAAACCAATAAACAAATGAATGCACAAACTAACGTACAAACGAACAAACAAACGACTGAACAAACGAACGAACCAATGAACAAAAAACAAAGGAACAAACAAACTAACTAACATACATACAAACAAACAAACAAACAAACAAAGAATTAACAAACCAACCAACCAACAAACAAATAAACAAGCCAATGAACAAATAAATGCACGAACAAATGTGCAAATGAACAAACAAATGACTGAATAAACAAATTAAAAAATTAACAAATGAATGAACCAATGAATAAACGAACGAATGAACAAATTACAAAAAACCAACACAGCTCTGCCAATGAGAGTAGTTGATTGTATAAAATGAAAAGCAAATGAGAAAAAAGGGTGGGGCATGTCAGACACTGGAGAGAATTTGATTGGTAGTTTTGATGTGAAACTCAAGTATGGGGTGTCGTAAAAAAAATTGTTGATCCATTTGCTTCTTAGTGAGGGCTGTTTATGCTAATGAGAAAGATAGTGGGTGGGGCTCTCCCCCTTTGATGACACGTACAAAGGGAGAATGTCAATCAAAGTGTTTCTGCAGACTGTTTTATCAAGTCTGATTATAAACAAATAGAATTAATCAATGTTTACCATTACAGGCTGGTTATATTCACACACTGCTGCCAGACAACTCTGTTTAAACGTATTATAAAAGTGATTTTTGCATAATAGCTTCCCTTTAATACCAACATAATTTCCCCCACAGTCCAAACACATGCGCTATAGGGGAATTGATGAACTAAATTGACCATAGTGTGTAAATGTGTGTGTGTCTATGGGTGTTTCCCAGTACTAGGTTGCAGCTGGAAGAGCATCCACTGAGTAAAACATATGCTGGAATAGTTGGTGGTTCATTCCACTGTGGCGATTACTGATGAATAAAGGGGCTAAGCTGAGGGAAATGAATGAATGACGTTCACTGGTGGCTATAAACACTTGGCGTGCACATACAGTAGCCCATTGAACACATCAAAGTGGAAATAAACTATTAACCAATCAGCTGCTTCGATCTCCGACCGAGTGCACACAAAGCAAAACGACTCACAACAGTTCAATACGGCCTATAAATCACACTCACGTCTCATTACTGTAGAGGAGTTATTCTCCATCAATCAATAGCAACACACTGCTAATAAGCAGCGGGAAAAACACACAACTTTTCAAAGCTTTCATCTCCTGCAGGAACTGTATTTATCCCAGCTTTTATCCTGCAGTAGACGCCGCTCCTCAAATGGCTTCTTTCCCTTTTTAATCGCTCTCAGAAAGCGGGAAAGATTGTCTCCAGAGAGCGTCTGAAACTCACACCATCAATTACTCGTCACTTTTTGAGCGCAATTATGCATGCGTGATGCGAATTAGCAAATAGAAGAGAACGACACCGCTGACCCTGAAAGGAAAGAGGTCCGGCTTCTCCCCGGCACACATGAAGGATGTAATGAATGCAGATTACTGGGCTTAAAGGTCACCGGGAGCACATCCGTCATCTGTGATCCTGCATTTACACTCTCTGCTGAGGTCAAATCACACTGCCGGAGGAAAAAGCAGCTTTCATATTGTGTATGTGTGTGTGTGTATATATAAATATATATGAAGGCAAAATTATTAGTCCTCCTGTGAATTTTCTAATATTTCCCAAATGATGTTGAACAGATTAAGGAATTTTTCACAGTATTTCCTATAATATTTTTTCCTCTGGAGAAAGTCTTATTTGCTTTATTTCGGCTAGAATTAAAGCAGCTCTTAATTATTTTAAACCCTTTTAAGGTCAATGTTATTAGACAATCGAAAAAAAATACTTAAGGGTGATTATAATAATAAAGAGACAAACAATTACTGCTTATAATACTGCCAAAATAAAAGAAAAAAAAGAGCTTTCCATGCTCTGTTAAACATCACTTAAGAAATAAATATTGAAATAATTTCTATATAAATATTCCTTCATTCATTTTCAGCTTAGTCCCTTTATTCATCAGGGATGGCCACAGCGGAATGAACCGCCAATTTATCCAGCAAATGTTTTACACAGTGGATGCCCTTCCAGCTGCAACCCAGTACTGGGAAACACCAATACACACTCATTCACACACACACACATACACTACAGCCAGTTTAGTTCATCAGTTCCCCTATAGCGCATGTGTTTGAACTGTGGGGGAAACCGGAGCACCTGGAAGAAACCCACGCCAACTTGGCGAGGACATGCAAACTCCACACTGAAATTTTCAACTGACTCAGCCGGGACTCGAAACAGCGACTCTACTGTGAGGTGACAGTGCTAAGCAAAGAGCCACCTTAACGCCCTCTATTTGAAAACAATGTCATTTATTTATGTGATTTCAAGGCTATTTTTTTACGCTTTATTAATCCCACAGTATAATCCTAAAAAAATTCTAATATTCTCATTTTGCTGTTTTTAATCAATAATTTGGAAAGTTTTTAGCAGATATTTTTTGTTTAAATTTTTTATGACAAAACGTTTATTTCTATTATTAATGTCTTCATCATCACTCCTGATCAATTTAAAACATCCTTACTAAATAAAAATATTGAAATATGTTAAAGGCTTTTTATTTCAGATAAATAATGATCTGAAAAAAGAACTAAAACATATTGAGTAAATAAATAAATAAAATAATAACAACAACAACAGCAATATTAATAATAATAATAATAAATAATAATAATAATAAATAATAATAGCAATAATAATAATAACAACAACAATATAATTACACTAATAACAGCAATAATAATAATATTTTTAATATTATTATTATTAATAATAATAATAACAATAATAATAGCAATAATAATAATAATAACAATTACAATAATAACAACAGCAATAATAATAATAATATTATTATTAATAATAATAATAATAATAAAGTTAATAATAATAATAATAATAATAATAAAAGTTAATAAAATCTGCTTCGAAATCCCAGAAAAAATAAAATAAAATGCATTCAATTAAAACACAATTTTTATTACTCTTAAATTGTAATTTTAATATTATAATAATAGTAATATTGTTTTTTTGCAGTACTGTGGAACCAATAAATGCAATGAAAACATTAATAAAAACTGTCAAGTAGGGGTTGCAGTAGTTGACTTTAATGCTCTGCTATGACGCTTTGGACTGACGCCAATTTATCGCGCTGAACAGATCACATGGTTTGATCTGCACTACATGGCAGCTTTACACACAAAGGTAGAATAAAACTGTCCTCAGATTATTTAAAGTAATTTTTAAGATGTTATTTTTCTTATGTCAACGTCAAAGATTCATGTGAACAGAGTGAGCTCTAAATCGTCAAACAGATAGCAGCTAGGTCGCTCCATGCAAATAACCTATCAGATGATAGCCAATCATGTTTATGCAACGATTGAAAAGTCATGTGATTGGCTGTTGTCCTCTGCGAAGCATAGATGCTGTAACATATTTAGTGAATAAACTGTGAAAAGCACAGAAAATATACTGCATTTATTCGCATAACCTTACAGTAAAAGTATAAATTAAATTAAATAATGAAATAAATATAAGCATAAACTAAATGCTGGTCAGGATATCACAGTGAAACAGACCGTGTAACTGCATTGTGGTTGCCGCAGTGCCATTGTTAAAGTGTTTTGTGTTGTTAAAAGTCAAGTCAAACACGTCCAAGCACAAATCTCGAAGACAATCTGATCCCCAAACATGACTCTGTACTATCCTTCATGCGAAAACACGTCCCTGTGCTCTGCTACTGTCAGCAGGAGAAAATTCTTCAATAGCACAACACTTCACAGCAGCACAGACTGAGATATAACTCCTGTGGGCAGCTCGCCTCAGCAACAAGCTCTAATAATCAGCTGCTTTATGGATTGCACCAAGCAGAAATGAGCAACACTTCACTAACAAC